CATGCTAACTATGTAGGGGCAGTGATAGTCATGCCAGTCCAGGGACTGACTGCGATTCTACTGTAAGGTGCCTTGGTCAAGGTCAATGATCCACATACCTGACATGGAACAACCAGACCATGCATATTGCTTTAGGTTAATAGAATATATTAATTGTGAAGAAAAAATAACACCATCTCCCTTCTTTTTTTTTTTTTACAACTCGACTGCTGAGTACAGCGTGGGGACCTGCCTAACAATGTTTAGTCTGAGTACTTGACTGACCTTGAAATAAATTCCAAACTTTCCAGGCAGTTTAGGAACTCTGAAATATAATCAGTATTTGATCATTTTTAATAGCAGTTGGACAAACATGTTTACTTTCTTTTTAAATAAAACCAGCGACATCATTTCCTGCATCCTCCTTATTAGTTGTTGGGTAAGGCTGGTCTTATTCCCATTGACCTGGTGATTTACTGCGACCTCTGGAGAATCATTCCCTCAGAGGAAATGAATAAGCTCCTCCATAACCCTGAAGAAGGTTAAATGGGTTTGGAAAAAGATGAACGCCTTTAAATATTATCAAAGGTGGAAGGAGTGATTCGAGGAACCGTTCTGTATTTCAGATCATGTTCTGCTCACATTAAGGTAAATCATTGTAAGTTTTTACAGAGTCTGTCTCCGTTTGCAGCCTCTTCACTTCCTCTCCTCCCTCAGTAGTTTCCAAGGTGACAGAGCTATTAGGTCCAGGACTTCCTGTATTTAAAAGGTTTCTGCCCAGCAACAGGTGATGTCATTGCTCCGATGTGTATAGTTTTGAGCAGTCTTTTCCTTTCCTTTGGATATGGTGAGTATTGGGGATCTTTGGGCCTATTGTTGGATCTCACTGCAGGGCTTCCTAACCAGCTCCCTGCCTTGCAGAGACGTTCTCTGGAAATGTGAGACTGAGCCGGGTTCATGCCGAGGCAAAGACAGGAGCGACACAACGCCGAACGCTCAGCAGTCTTAGGGAGATGGTTCCTGCTTTCATTGGCCTCCTCGCTTTCTTTCCTCTCATCCTTCCATATCTCTCTTCCCTCTCTCTCAATTTCTCCTTCATGTGTCCTTGACAATGCGGCAAGCTGTTCCAGCTCTCCCTCCTCACCCCTTAGCTTTCTCTTCTTAAAACACATACAGTGTCTCACTCCCTCTCCCAAACTGCTGTCCCTCCTACATCCTGGCCGTTAGGTGTGGATGTAATGGTCTCCTGCTGCAGTGCTGCTTCATCCATATGTGTCAGAGAGGGAATGTGATTTCACTCTGTCAGATTAAGCCCCATCTTGCTGTGTGGATCACATTACAGATTCTGTTCAGGACCCAATGCATTGTAAGGTATCCATGTGCACCTCCATGTTTGCCTGTTTCACCACCTGACCGGCCCCTTCCAGCCTCTTATGGTCTATCTAAAAGAAGCAGAGGATGCAGTGAATCTGTGTAGACGGGCTGTTTTTGTTTTGTTGCTCAAAGGAAGCTACTGGAGAGCAGTATTGATGCGTATTTGTTGGTAAACTGCTCTGTAGTCTGTGTGTGTTTGTGAAGGTTTTGTTGGGACCTGCTGCAGCGGTTCCAGACCAACTCACAGTATCAAATTAGCAACACTCAACACAGACTTACTGTAACTCAACACCAGCAAAGCCTCACACTTTTCCTCCCTCTCTCCCTGCCTCCCTCCATCCTCACCCCCTCCCTCACACACGCCTCAGAGATGCTGCAGACCGATGATCACAGTCTCCTGCTTGGCCTCCTTTATTCCTCCGTCTCCATCTGACCGTTATCCTTCATTCTGTCTTTGACTCTTCCAGCCAACTTCTCGCTGCTGTTGTGTTGCTAGGTTACAACTAGTTGAAGTAGTAGGCGTAGTGTGCTACCACACCCGTCAGATTCAATGTGTGAATCTACTGTAGATTAGCAGGGTGAAGAAACTAAGACCCAAACTCCCAGGCTGGTCTTCCTGAAGCTTCCATTTGGTCTAGTTATATGAAAATACACTTTATTGCCAAAAATATTCACTTTGTATTCACATACATATGAGCTAGAGGGGCATCCTTTTCTTAATCCAGGGGGTTT